TGTCGGCGGGCAGGCTGCTAGTCCTCAGCTTACTGGAGGCTGGGCGGCGCGGACTGAGAATGGTGACCGGGAGGCGGGAGCTTGGCAGGTGGAGCGATCACGCCACTGCACTCCCAGCGCTTGGGAGGCACCAGCGAGGATTCGGTCTCAAGAAAAAAAAAAAAAAAAAGAAAAAACAAGAACAAAGGACAGCACAGGATCTCGCTGTGTTGCCCCATCTATGGCGCAGCAGTGCGATCTCAGCTCACTGCATCCTTGGACCTCCTGGGCTCCAGTGATCCCCCTGCCTCGGCCTCCTGAAGTGCTGGGATGACAGGCGTGAGCCACTGTGCCCGGCCTGTGGGCTGGGATTACGGGTGTGAGCCACCACGCCCAGCCCGTGGGCAGGATTTCACCAGTGGTTTTATAAACACTGTGGAGTGGACAGTAAGGGGGGAGGTACGGGGCGGGGGACAGATAGTGCCATCACTGCCCTAGCGCTCTCGTCCCCTCCTGTGACACAGCCCCTGAGTGTGCTGTCGGCAGGGCGGCAGCTCGGGAGAGAATGACCTAGAAAAACAGCGCTGGGAGGGAGCTTGCTGGAGGGAAGGGTTGCCTTCCCTGTAAAATGTCCAGGTTGGGATTAAACACGATTCTGGGGAGCGGGGGAGGGGGCCATGCCTCCTCTCTGGCTCCCTCCCTCCCTCCCTCCAGTTCCCTACGTTCCCAAGCTGGGGGCAGGAGGACCAAGGCCTCCTGGAAACCAGAGACCCCTCGCTTTTCTCTCGGTGGGACCGCATTCTCGCCTGACACCTTCCTTCCTGCCAGGCTCCCTGCTGTTCCATGCGGCCTGTGAACACCCAGTTTTGGCATCTGTATATACGTGTCCGTGTCCACCTAAATCCAGAATTCAGTCTGGCGTTTCACTTTATGTATTTATTTATTCAGACGGAGTTTCCCCTCTTGTCGCCCAGGCTGGAGTGCAGTGGCGCGATCTCGGCTCACCGCAACCTCCGCCTCCCGGGTTCAAGCGATTCTCCTCCCTCAGCCTCCCAAGGAGCTGGGATTACAGGTGCCCATCACCACGCCCGGCTAATTTTTGTATTTTTTTTAGTAGAGACAGGGTTTCTCCATGTTGGTCAGGCTGCTCTCGAACTCCTGGCCTCAAGTGATCCGCCCGCCTCAGTCTCCCGAAGTTCCGGGATGACGGGCGTGAGCCACCGCGCCTGGCAAGAGGAGCTTCTTCTCTCACAGTTCTGGAGTCTGGAAGTCCAAGCTCAGGCAGGTCCAACTTCCTTTGGGGGCTTTCGGGGAGACCCTTTCTGACTCTTCCAGCTTCCAGTGGTAGCTGGCCATCCCTGGTGTCACTTGACTTGAGGATGAATCACTCCGGTCTCTGCCTGTGTGGTGACTTGGCCTTCGCCTGTGTCTCTGTGTCCAAATTTCCCTCTTATAAAGACGCCAGTCATTGAATTAGGGCTCCCCCTACTCCTGCGTGACCTCATCTTAATGAATTACAGCTGCAAGATACAAACTGTCCTCACTTACGTACGATTCATCTCTGACATTAAGCAGTCTCCCGGGGCTCCGCGTCTGTTCGCTCTCCGCTTAAATTCTTGAAAGGCGCTGGGAAGGCAGGAGCTGCCTTCGCAGATATTTAGCAGATGAGGATCGACGGCCAATGAGAACCGTGAAGAGACACACGGCCTGGTTTGGGCCAAGGGGCCTGGGGGGATGCCTAGCGGGGCTCAGCTGCTAAGATGCCAAAAATAGCCGGCTGGCTGGCGGGCGAAGCAGCCAAGCAGAAGAGCTGGGCAGTGCCGCCTGGTAGCTCCAGCTCCGTCCTCCCGCTCCCTCCAACCCCACCTCCACCTGCCACCCCAGCCCCCAGAATCCGGGCTGCAGCCAAGAAGAGTTGGTAGGGGTGCAGCAGGCTCCCAGGAGAGATGGGAAGAGCCCAGGACGCACAGCCATCGGGACCCACGGAGCATTGGTACCTGTTCCTCTGGGCCACCATGGCTCCATGCCATCTGCCCCCCACCCAGAGGCCCAGCTCCCCGCCCCGCTCCACCCTCTCCCTTAGCTTCTGCAGATGTCCACCACACCTCAAGGCCCTTCCACTGGCTGTTCCCCCAGCCCACACACCCTCCCTCCAGAAAACCACGGGCTCTGTTCTGTTCAACTTTTGGGTTGGCCTGTTTCCTGCCAGAACAAGGCGCCGCAAACCCAGGGAGCTTAAAACAACCAAAATATACGCTCTCCCAGCTCTGGAGGCAGAAGTCCAAAATCAAGGTGTCCGCAGGGCTGGGGGCCCTCTGGAAGCTTCCGGTGAGCGTTCTTCCTGCCTCTCCCAGCTTCCCGGGGCTCTCAGCAATCCCTGGCTTGTGGCTGTGTCACCCTAGCCTCTACCTCCGTCTTCACACGGCCGTATTTCCCCTGTAAGGGGCTAGGTGTGTGGCCAAGTCTCCCTGTTGTTGTAAGGGCAGGAGTCGTTGGAAAAGGCTCACTGTAACCCACCACAGTCTCATCTAAACTTGAGTGCATCTGTAAAGACCCTGATTCCAAACGAGGTCCCGTGCACAGTGGGCACGGAGGGTAGGACTTGAACATACCTTTTTTTTTTCCCCCTTGAGACAGTCTCACTCTGTTGCCCAGGGGCTGGAGTGCAGTGGTGTGATCACGACTCACTGAAGCCTCAACTCCTGGGATCAAGTGATCTTCCCACCCCAGACCCCCCAGTTAGGACTATAGATGCACACCACCACGCCCAGCTGATTTTTGTATTTTTAGTTGAGACAGCGTTTCCCCATGTTGCCCAGGCTGGTCTCGAGCTCCTGACCTCAGGTGATCCACCACCTCGGCCTCCCAAAGTGCTGGGATTACAGGTGTGAGCCACCGTGCCTGGCCTTGAACATATCTTTTGCAGGAACACAGTTCCACCCACAACAGGGTCTGAGATCAAATATTATCTCCCTGTCTGTGGATGGGCCTGTCCTGGATATTTCATAGAAATGAGATCACACGGACGGGCGCGATGGCTCAAGCCTGTAATCCCCACACTTTGGGAGGTCAAGGCGGGTGGATCACTTAACATCAGGAGTTCAAGGCAAGCCTGGCCAACACCGCGAAACCCAGTCTCTACTAAAAATACGAAAATTAGCTGGGTGTGGTGGCAGGCGCCTGTAGTCCCAGGTACTTGGGAGGCTGAGGCAGGAGAATGGCGTGAACCCAGGAGGTGGAGTTTGCAGTGAGCCAAGATCACAGCCACTGCACTCCAGCCTGAGCAACAGAGCAAGACTCCGTCTAGAAAGAAAGAAAGAAAGAAAGAAAGAAAGAAAGAAAGAAAGAAAGAGGGAAAGAGAGAGAGAGAGGGAGGGAGGGAGAGAGGAAGGAAAGAGAGAGGGAGGGAAGGAAGGAAGGAAGGAGAAGGGGAGGGGAGGGAAGAAGGAAGGAGGGAGGGAGGGCGGGAAGGAAGGAAGGAAAGAGAAGAAAAGAAAGAGAAAGAAAAAGAAAGGAAAGAAAAGAGAAAGAAAAAGGAAGAAAGAAAAGGAAAAAGAAAGAGAAAGAAAGAGGATCACACAATGTGGCCTTTTGTCACATCTCTCACTAAGCATGGCATCCTCAAGGTGCATCCTCACTGTGGCCTGGGTCAGAGCCTGGCTCCCTTTGGTGGCTGAGTCGTGTTCATGTGTGGCCGGCTGCACTGTGCTGATCCATCCATTCCTTGGTGCACACTCCACCCTTTCCCACTGTTTGGCGGTTACAGATGCGGCTGTGAATGTTCCCAGGTTTTCCGTGCACTGTGTGTTCCATTCTCTTGTGTGAAGACACCCAGGAGCGGGCGGGCGCGGTGGCTCACACCTGTAATTCCAGCACTTTGGGAGGCCAAGGCGGGTGGATCACCTGAGGTCAGGAGTTTGAGACCAACCTGGCCAATATGGTGAAACCCCGTCTCTACTAAAAACACAAAAATTATCCAGGCGTGGTGGCGGGCACCTATAATCCCAGCTATATGGGAGGCTGAAGCAGGAGAATCTCTTTAACCCGGGAGGTGGAGGTTTCAGTGAGCCGAGATCAAGCCACTGCACTCCAGCCTGGATGACAGAGTGAGACTCCATCTCAAAAAAACAAACAAGCAAAAACAAAACAAAACTCCAGGAGATTGGAATTGCAGCCACACGGTGGATCATCGTGCTGCTTTTTTTTTGGGGGGGGTCTTCCTCTGTCCCTCTTGTCTCCCAGGCTGGAGCGCAGTGGCACAATCACAACTCACTGTGGCCTTGACCCCCTGGGCTCTAGGAATCCTCCTGGCTCAGCCTCCTGAGTAGCTGGGACCACAGGTGCAGGCCACCATGCCTGGGTAAACTTCTTAATATTTCACAATTACTTGCAAACCAGCTAATTTTTATTATTAGTATTATTTTTTGTAGAGACAGGGGTCTCACTCTGTTGCCCAGGCTGGAGTGCAGTGGCACGAGCATAGCTCACTGCAGCAGCCTCCACCTCCTGGGCCCAAGTGATCCTCCTGCCTCAGCCTCCTGAGTAACTGGGACCACAGGCCTACACCACCACATGCGGCTCATCTTTTATTTTTTTGCAGAGATGGGAGTCTTGCTATGTTGCTCAGGCTGGTCTGGAACTCTTGAACTCAATTATTCCATCTCAGCCTCCCAAAATGCTGGGATTACAGGCGCCAGCCGCTGTGCTGGGGCGCGTTAGGGGTGGGCTGGGTGCGGAGGCGCCGCGGAGGGGAACCCGGTGCTAACGGTGCTAACGGTGCTAACGCTGCCCGCTCCTCGCCCGCCCGCAGGTGCGCAGGAGGATGGTGGCGCGGCCCTAGGCCCACGCTCCGCACCATGACCTGCTGGCTGTGCGTCCTGAGCCTGCCCCTGCTCCTGCTGCCTGCGGCACCGCCCCCGGCTGGAGGCTGCCCGGCCCGCTGCGAGTGCACCGCGCAGACCCGCGCCGTGGCCTGCACGCGCCGCCGCCTGACCGCCGTGCCCGAAGGCATCCCGGCCGAGACGCGCCTGCTGGAGCTCAGCCGCAACCGCATCCGCTGCCTGAACCCGGGCGACCTGGCCGCGCTGCCCGCGCTGGAGGAGCTGGACCTGAGCGAGAACGCCATCGCGCACGTGGAGCCCGGCGCCTTCGCCAACCTGCCGCGCCTGCGCGTCCTGCGTCTCCGTGGCAACCAGCTGAAGCTCATCCCGCCCGGGGTCTTCACGCGCCTGGACAACCTCACGTTGCTGGACCTGAGCGAGAACAAGCTGGTCATCCTGCTGGACTACACGTTCCAGGACCTGCACAGCCTGCGCCGGCTGGAGGTGGGTGACAACGACCTGGTGTTCATCTCGCGCCGCGCCTTCGCGGGGCTGCTGGCCCTGGAGGAGCTGACCCTGGAGCGCTGCAACCTCACGGCTCTGTCCGGGGAGTCGCTGGGCCACCTGCGCGGCCTGGGCGCCCTGCGGCTGCGCCACCTGGCCATCGCCGCCCTGGAGGACCAGAACTTCCGCAGGCTACCCGGGCTGCTGCACCTGGAGATTGACAACTGGCCGCTGCTGGAGGAGGTGGCCGCGGGCAGCCTGCGGGGCCTGAACCTGACGTCGCTGTCGGTCACCCACACCAACATCACTGCCGTGCCGGCCGCCGCGCTGCGGCACCAGGCGCACCTCACCTGCCTCAATCTGTCGCACAACCCCATCAGCACGGTGCCGCGGGGGTCGTTCCGGGACCTGGTCCGCCTGCGCGAGCTGCACCTGGCCGGGGCCCTGCTGGCCGTGGTGGAGCCTCAGGCCTTCCTGGGCCTGCGCCAGATCCGCCTGCTCAACCTCTCCAACAACCTGCTCTCCACGTTGGAGGAGAGCACCTTCCACTCGGTGAACACGCTGGAGACGCTGCGCGTGGACGGGAACCCCCTGGCCTGCGACTGTCGCCTGCTGTGGATCGTGCAGCGTCGCAAGACCCTCAACTTCGACGGGCGGCTGCCGGCCTGCGCCACCCCGGCCGAGGTGCGCGGCGACGCGCTGCGAAACCTGCCGGACTCCGTGCTGTTCGAGTACTTCGTGTGCCGCAAACCCAAGATCCGGGAGCGGCGGCTGCAGCGCGTCACGGCCACCGCGGGCGAAGACGTCCGCTTCCTCTGCCGCGCCGAGGGCGAGCCGGCGCCCACGGTGGCCTGGGTGACCCCCCAGCACCGGCCAGTGACTGCCACCAGCGCAGGCCGGGCGCACGTGCTCCCCGGGGGGACGCTGGAGATCCAGGACGCGCGGCCGCAGGACAGCGGCACCTACACGTGCGTGGCCAGCAACGCGGGCGGCAACGACACGTACTTCGCCACGCTGACCGTGCGCCCCGAGCCGGCCGCCAACCGGACCCCGGGCGAGGCCCACAACGAGACGCTGGCGGCCCTGCGCGCGCCGCTGGACCTCACCACCATCCTGGTGTCCACCGCCATGGGCTGCATCACCTTCCTGGGCGTGGTCCTCTTCTGCTTCGTGCTGCTGTTCGTGTGGAGCCGCGGCCGCGGGCAGCACAAGAACAACTTCTCGGTGGAGTACTCCTTCCGCAAGGTGGATGGGCCGGCCGCTGCGGCGGGCCAGGGCGGCGCGCGCAAGTTCAACATGAAGATGATCTGAGGGGTCCCCAGGGGCGGGCCCTCCCCTCCCACCCCTCGCGGGCCGGCCGCTCGCGTGTCCACCTATGCATTTTCCGGAGGGGGCGGGGGCGGCTGCACGGCGGCTCCCCTGGCAGAACTTCCCCTTTTTTTGTAGACGCCCAACCGCAGGACTGTTTTTCATCAGCATGCGTCTTTTTGCAGTTTCTCAAGCGTTTTCTAAAGGTTTCAACCTGTCTTCCTGTCCCTGCTATGGTGGCTGAGTTGGCGGTGGGGGTGCGGGCTGCAAGGTGGGGTGATGGGCTCCCATCTACCAACCTGGAATGACTGGGGGTGCTGAGAGACCCCAAGATCCTCAGGGCCCGCAATTCACACCCAGGAGGCACAAGTCTGCTGCCCCCAAGCCCTGGGCTTCCGCTCCCCCAACCCTTTACACACAGATCACACCAGGGAGACGGTGGACACCCAAGACCCACAAAGGGCCCTACAGCCCCAAGGGGAGCGTGCACAGAAAGTCTGCATTGCTCACACCTGGGCCTCCTGCACCTCACACCCAGAGACACACTCACACCTGGAACCCAATCACACAGGTGAAACACACCTCACACCCAGCCGACACTAAAACCAGACCCGGGGCGCCAGAGCTGACCACAGGGGCAGGCAGGGCTCTCATGAGAGCAAAGTTCTCACCCGGGACAGGCACAGCTCACACTTGAGACACAGCTCACACCTGGGACACAGCTCACACCTGGGACAGGCACAGCTCACACCCAGGACACACAGCTTACACCTGGGACAGGCACAGCTCATACCTGGGACACACAGCTCACACCTGGGACAGGTACAGCTCACACCCAGAACACACAGCTCACACCTGGGACACACAGCTCACATCTGGGACACACAGCTCACACCCAGAACACACAGCTCACACCTGGGACACACTCAGTTCACACTGGAACACACAGCTCACACCTGGGATGTACTCAGCTCACACCTGAGACATAGTTCACACCTGGGACAGGCACAGCTCACACTGGAACACACAGCTCACACCCGGGACACACAGCTTACACCTGGGACATGCTCAGCTCACACCTGAGACACAGCTCACACCTGGGACAGGCTCAGCTCACACCTGAGACACAGTTCACACCTGGGACAGGCACAGCTCACAGCCGGGACACACAGCTTACACCTGGGACATGCTCAGCTCACACCCGAGACACAGCTCACACCTGGGACAGGCACAGCTCACACCCAGAACACACAGCTGACACCCAGGACACACTCAGCTCACACCCAGAACACAGAGCTCACACCTGGGACACACACAGCTCACCACACCTGAGACACACACCTCACACCCGGCTGACACTAAAACCAGGCCCTGGGCACCAGAGCTGACCACAGAGGCAGGCAGGGCTCTCGTGAGAGCACAGCTCACACCTGGGACATGCTCAGTTCACACCTGAGACAGGCACAACTCACAACTGAGACACAACTCACACCTGGGACACACAGCCCACCCCAGCACCTGCTCAGTTGAGCATCTCCCAGCCGACCTCAGGGCCTGGGCTCAGGTCTGCTGAGGACCCAGCACACACAGTGGTTACAGTCAGGGGCCCCACACCCTGTCTTCTGTCCTCCCCACAGCCCAGCAGGGCTGTCCGCAAGGAGGAGCCATTGCCCCAGCCCTCCACCTCCCTCCGCTGCCACTTGCTTCTCAGAACAGTTGGCAAGAAACGGCCACCCCACAAGGGAGAGGTAGCCACCCTGGCCCCGGCCCAGGACCATGGCTTCTGGGGTCCTGAGTGTCCCTCTAAATGGGTATACTGGAGGGACCTTTGCCTCTAGGTACGCATTGACCCCTGAGCCAGCCTCAGACAAGCCCTGAGCGTGGCCCCATCATGCCCGGCCCTGCTGACTCATGGCTCAGGTGGGGAACAAGACCAAAGAGCGCAGGGGGTTCCCGGGGGGTCCCTGCTATGTGCATTGCAGAGGCAGTGACAAGAACAAGGCTGGAACAAGGGCTTCACCCTGCAGGACGGCCTGGACCCGGGTCCTTGGAAGAAGGTGATGGAAGAACTTTGGTCTCTGCACCTGCAGTGGTCGGGCAGATCTAGGACCAAAGCTGGGGTCACAGGCCGACTGCAGCTCAGGTCAAGGAAAAGCTTCCCCGAAGTCACCGCCCTGTTGCTCTGCAGATGGTGAGCTCCCCGTCACGGGGGGTAAACAAGCAGGAACTGAGGTTTTGCAGAAGGATTCAGACACTAGACAGGGACCATAGGGACCATCTGTGACCTGGCCTCCTCATAGCCAATTTTTGCCCCTCCCCCTCCACATCCTCCAGAGGACAGTTAGGACATTGCTGGGGGCAGGGACAGGAACCATTGTTGGGCCAAAACCTCAGTCAGAAAGGGCTTGGCTGCCCACCGAGAGGTTAGGACAGACCCTCCAGGACTTTGCAGGAAGGGCTCAAGAGCAGCTCTGCTGCTGCCCAGCTGATCGATCTCAGCTGGTGACCGAAGATCACCTAGACCATCAGTGTCCTCATCTGTAAAATGGGTCTGAGGGTCAAACCTATTACCCTGTATTCAGAGGCCGGCCTGCAGATGGGCCTGATGGCTTGACTTGGATCCTGGATCCCTCAAGACTGCTCTGAGATCACTCAGAGAGAAATAGAGAGAAAGCCGGCTCAGCCTTGGAGGGTTTGAGCAAAGGTTTCAGACAGAGCTGCAAGGCGACGCCGGCCCATTCTCCCTGAGCTGTGGCCGGAGGGCCCAGGCCTGCACCACGGTGTACAGATGGTCCAGGGGGCTCAACATGAGTGAGGGTGAAGTTCCTGTAACCCCAACCGCCACCCCTGAATTGGGCACAACCAATTATTTTCTTCGCACCTGCCTGACTCTGCTTACCATGACAACCCCAAGGGCCTCCCCAAAATTGATATCCAAGTGCCTTTAGCCTATCAAAGACAGGAGGGGGTGCATTCTCGGTCATGTTAGGGTTCACAGAGCATCCGTATATTAGGATTTCCCAGCTCCCTGAGCTCCCCACCCCATCCCAACATGAACCAAGACCCCTCAGTCTCCCACCCCTCATCCTGCTGTATTTGGTTCAAATCCAATAAAAATGGAACCGATTTAATAACAAACTTCAGATTTTGTTCTTACTCCCATGGGAGCAACAGGGGGCAGGGCTGAGGGATGAGGGGCTGCTGGAGTCCCCAGGGGAAGCCAACCCTGAGAGAATTCCACGCCACTAGTGACGTGTGATAGGCCACACTTCTGCAGCACCCATGCTGTTCCCAGCGCTGTTCCAGGCGCTGTGTGTATTGCCTCCTTTCACACTGAGGGCCAGCCCTGCAAGCTGGGTGGATCCTGTTAACGAACCCATTTTACAGATGGGTCGAGCGAGGGGCAGAGAATGGAGGGAAGCCGCTCTGAGACCCCAGCTAGGGACAGGTGGGGGCTGAGAAGAGTGGGCAAAGCTGGGCCGTTGGGAAACTCCTTCCCCAGCCTCAGGCCAGGGAAGAAAGAAGACATGGGTCCCCACTGTGCCTCCTGGAATTGGCCTGTCGGGGAGTCTGGGTGCTGCTGACCGGGTCCCACGTCTGCCCTGCCTGTCTCTGAGGGCTCCCAGAAAAACCAGGGAGTCTTGGCTTTGGAAGTGAGATTAATAAAGTGCTTTAGCCCGCGCCAGTCCTCACTGACAGATGGGGAGATTGAGGCACAGAGCGGCAACAGATGGGGAAGCCGAGGCACGGAGAGGCGACAGGTGGGGAAACTGAGGCACAGTGGGCGTGAAGGCTCAAACCCCACCCACCCAGGAAGGCACAGGGAGAAGCTTGTGCTTTTTCAGGAAGGAGGTGGACGGAACCAGAGTGCAGAAGTCCCAGCCAAGAGCAGCCTCCCACTCGCCACAGCCCAGTGTTGGTCTCTGGACCCCAGTTCCCCCGTTTGAACCTAGGACTAAGGTTCCTTTATTTCCCTGCCCTTCGGGGGCAGAACAGAGGCCCATCAGGGACTGTGAGGCATCCCTCTCTCCATGCCTGGTTTCAAGGCAGCTGGAGGGTGAGGGGGGCTCTAGGCTGTGGGACTCTCCCGTGGGGACTGATTTCCCGTTCTCTCCTGCAGCAAAGGCAGGTGAAACTATTGTCCTGTGGGCGTCAGAGTCCCCGTCCAGGAGAGCCGCCCGTTCCCTGTGCAATGCTCTGAGTGCCTGACATGAACCAGGTACAACCTCCAAGCTTTCCATGAATCCTGTCTCGTTTATGGGGTGCCCTGCGGGGAGGGCAGGGGAGACCTCAGAAGAGGCCCTTCCTGCTCAGGCAGCCAAGACCCAGCTAAAGTAACACCCATCTCCTTGGTGGCTGGAAACCCAAGAGAGGATCCCTAAAACCAGGACGGGACCAAGCCATCCTCATGCCTCATGTCTGGGTGGCTTCTGACCAAGCCTGCCTTGACTTCCCCTCCCAGACAGAGCTAGGACCAGCCCCAGCCCACGCCTGCACCCTCGTGGGTCTCTCACCCCCATCTTCTGGACGTGGACGCGTGTTTGGGGTGTCTCTCTCTCTCCCACATCCCCCCAGCAAGCCGGCATCTTTTCCAGGTGATTCCCTGAGCCCCGCATATTAACTTCCCTCCTGTTTTCCTCCGCAAGACAGAGACACGATTCCCACACGCAAGCTTTTGCTCTTGGGGCCAAGGGAAGCTGAAGGCTCAGGTCTCTGGCTTCCATTGCTGCGTGGCCTGGGGCAAGTCACTGCCCCTCTCTGTGCCTCGGTTTGTTTGTCTGTAATTTGGAAGATAATAATCCTGCAATAGGCTGGGCATGGTGGCTCACGTCTGTAATCCCAGCACTTTGGGAGGCAGAGGCGAGTGGATCACCTTTGGTCAGGAGTTCGAGACCAGCCTAGCCAACATGGCGAAACCCCATCTTAACGAAAAATACAAAAATTTGCCGGGTGTGGTGGCGGCCGCCTGTAATCCCAGCTACTCAGGAGGCTGAGGCAGGAGAACCACCTGAATCCAGGAGGCGGAGATTGCAGTGAGGCAAGATCGTGCCACTGTGCTCCAGCCTAAGCAACAAGAGGGAAACTACCTCAAATAATAATAATAATAATAATCCTGCAATAGTCCTGTGGTATGCAGGATAAAAACTGCATGAGTTTTCTATAACTGCAGTTACAAATGGCCACAAACCTAGTAGCTTAAAATAACTTAAAATTATGATCTGACAGATCTGGAGCCCCAAAGTCGAAAATCAGTTAGCAGGGCTGTTTCCTCCAGACGTCCCGGGGAGAATCTACTTTCTGCCTTTTCTGGCTCCAGAGCCGCCTGCATCCGTGGGCTCGTGGCCACGTCATTCTGACCTCTGTTTCGGTCGTCACATCTCCTTCTCTAACCCTGAGCCACCTGCCTTCCTCCTTACAAGGACCCCTGTGTGGACACTGAGCCCCCCAGAAATGAAGATCTCCCTATCTGATGAAAGGTAGCCGAATTCCATCTGCAACCTTGATCCCCCTCACCAGACAGCTGCCTCGTCAGATTCTGGAGATGAGGACACAGGAGCTTTTTGAGGCTGTTATTCTGCTTACTAAAAAAAAATAAAGGCCGGGCGCGGTGGCTCAAGCCTGTAATCCCAGCACTTTGGGAGGCCGAGACGGGCGGATCACAAGGTCAGAAGATCGAGACCATCCTGGTTAACACGGTGAAACCCCGTCTCTACTAAAAAATACAAAAAACTAGCCGGGCGAGGTGGCAGGCGCCTGTAGTCCCAGCTACTCGGGAGGCTGAGCCAGGAGAATGGCGTGAACCCGGGAGGCGGAGCTTGCAGTGAGCTGAGATACGGCCACTGCACTCCAGCCTGGGCGACAGAGTGAGACTCCGCCTCAAAAATAAATAAACAAAATAAAAACTAACCAGGCATGGTGGTGCACGCCAGTGGTCCCGGCTACTCAGGAGGCTGAGATGGGAGGATCACTTGAGCCCAGGAAGCAGAGGCTGCCGTGAGCTATGATCACACCACTGCACTCCAGTGTAGGTGATGGAGCGAGACCCTGTCTCAAAGAAAAAAAAGTGTGGCATGGGACCCACTCGAAGGATGTTCATAAGGGAAAGGTAGTCTCCTTCCCCTCCTCCCCCTTCTCAGGGGATTGGGGGAGGCCAGGGGGACTCAGCAGTGGCTCTGTGGACCTCTGCTTCCAGCCTCGAGCTGCTGTGTGACCCTGGATGGAGCCCATACTGTCTCTGGGCCCATTTCCCCTCAGGGAAACGGGATCAGGAACCCCACATGAAACACACTCAATCTTTGCTGCAAGAGCATCTTTGGGACCGGGCAGGTTGGCTCACACCTGTGATCCTAGCACTTTGGGAGACCGAGGCGGTATAGCAGGACGAACAGCAGACAAAAGTCCTCAGACACCGGATTAAAGAAGGGAGTGGATTATTTGGCCGGGAGCGTCAGCAGACTCGCGTCTTAAGAGCCGAGCTTAGGCCGGGCACGGTGGCTCAAGCCTGTAATCCCAGCACTTTGGGAGGCCGAGACGGGCGGATCACAAGGTCAGGAGATCGAGACCATCTGGCTACATGGTGAAACCCTGTCTCTACTAAAAAAATACAAAAAAATTAGCCGGGCGAGGTGGCGGGCGCGTCTGTAGTCCACGGCTAGACCTCGGGAGGCTGAAGGCACGGAGAATGCGTGAACCCGGGAGGCAGAGCTTGCAGTGACTGCAGAGATCCGGCCACTGCCACTCAGCCTGGGTGACAGAGCGAGACTCCGTCTCAAAAAAAAAAACAAAAAAAAAGAGCCAGCTCCCCGAAAAAGATATTCTTGGCCTTTTTCAAAGGCTCACAAGGTTAAGGGGTCCATGCTGAAGAGGGTCATGAATAAATCAGAGGCAGTGTGGGGAGCGTGACTGGGGACCGACAGGGCATGAACTAACCAGACGCAACAAAAGTTTTACAATGCTTTTTCCATACAGTGTGCTGGCAATTTACGCACACGAGTAGTTTAGGTCAGGGGTACAATGTTATATTATACTTTTTTTTTTCTTTTTTTTTTTTGAAGAGCAGGAGCTTGCTCTGTCGCCCAGGCTGGAGTGCAGGTGCGCATCTCAAGCTCAGCTGCAGCTCTGCCGTGCCCTGGTTCATGCCATTCTCCCTGCCATCGCCTCCTGAGTAGCGCTGGACTACAGGCGCCGCGCCGCCACACGCCCAGCCTGATTTTTGTACTTTTTAGGTAGTAGAACCGGGGTTTCCCAAGTTAGTCCAGGATGGTCTCGATCTCCTGACCTCGTGATCCGCCCGCCTCAGCCTCCCAAAGTGCTGGGATTACAGGCGTGAGCCACCGCGCCCGGCCTATTACTACTTTTTTTAACTCCTAGGGCCGGATGGTGGTGCTAAGGTTGTCTGGCTATTTATCTTACTTTTGTTTCTTTCTAACTGTTTGCTTTGTCTCTCTCCTCCTGTCTTGTGAACTAGGCAAGGTGGGGGGAGGAGGGCAGCAGGAGGAGTAGTGGGCTCCTTCCTTAGCCAGAGGATCGCCCCAGGAGTTCATTGCAGGCTGCAGTGAGCTGCGATTGCCCCACTGCGCTCCAGCCTGGGCAACAGTGTGAGACCCTGTCTCCAAAAAAAAAAGAAGACAGTTTTGACAGGCACACACTTCAGCTGGAATTTCACCCCGTGTCTGCTTTTCCTTGGGTTTTTTCCATTCTTGATTTTTCCATTTATGGTGATTTTATCTACAACGTCTTTTCTAAATAAATGCATCGAGGCAGTGAGGAAGGGGGAAGGGGGAAAGTGAGCCGATTCCGTTTTTTCAAAGAAAAATCCAGCAGGCGGGACTGTTACCAGGCGGAATGCAAGAGACGCTTTTCTTTATTGGCCAGAGCACGGAGAGGGGTGGGGATTTGTCCACAGTCACACAGCCAGGCGCGGCAGAGCCGGGAGGGTCCTCGCCCCCACTCCGCATTCGGGGGCCCTGGGATCGGGCAGGGGGCCGCTGGGGGCTCCTCAAGATGCTGCCACAGGAGGGGAGGCGGTTCCCGGGCAAGTAAAACCCACAGACCCCACTTTCACCTTCTCCAGGGACAGCTGCCACCACGTTCTGTGCCCTCCCTACGGTGGGCCAGCTCTGCCCCTCTGCCCATCTCACAGGGCTCCTCACTGCCCCTACCCCAGCCTGGCCTCTGAGGCTGTCAGCCCTGGTGCTGTTGACTTTCAGATCCCACCTCCTGGTCTCCGTCCGGGCTGTTCCCTCCGCCCGGGATGCTGTTCCTGGCTACATCCTGTCCTCTGAGGGCGGGCAGGGGAGGGGGCGGCCGCAGTTGGTGGGGAAGTGTTGCCGAAATGCCCCCGCCCCACCCCGGGCTGCGGTCTGACGGTTGGCCGGACGTTTTCCTGTCAGCTGCAGGCGCTAGGTCAGACCCCTCCTGCGAGGCCAGGGGCTGTGGCCATTGGGAGTTCGTCCCCCAGGACCCCTCCTCCCCCAGAGGGCACGCCAGTCTTGAAGGTAGGGGGCTCCTGGAGCGGGGAGCCGGACAGAAGCGGTCACTTTTTCAGGTTGGGATCTGGGCGGGGGTGGGTTGGGGCCTGGCTGCCGACAGCAACCGCACAGCTGAGCCCTCAGGGAGGAGGCCTGAGCGTGGATCCCTGAGTCCCTGGACACTGTCTCCCCCACAACTGACCCCCAAAGACCTGTTCTAGGCTGAACATTCTGTCCCCATCCCACATGTGCAGTGGGGGTTCCTTCCCACTGCCTGGAAGATTGATGGATGACACACCTGCCTCATGATTGAGGAAGCAGGCCCAGAGAGGGCAGGAAACCCACTCGGGATCACACAGCAGGGTCAAAACTGGACAAGGGAGTGGAGTGTGGGTGCCCCTGTTCTCACCAAGGGCCCTGGAGCAGGGGGCCTCAACGGTCTCCCATGCTGCAGCACTCCCGGACCCCTCCCATGTCGCCCTGTGCGTGCGCCACCCCACCACGCCCCGTCTGACCTTCCCCCAGCAACATGAGCAGCCCGGAGACTCCCACAGAGCCCCCCGAGCCCGACGACCCCACCTGGTCGACTCAGCCCACGTATAGCAACCTCGGTGAGCAGCTCCCTGGGGAGCCCTGGGCCGGGGGCGTGCAGGGAGCGGCAGGGGGTGGAGGACACCATGGCCTCTGGGAACAGCAGCAGTTGGTAAAATGAGTGACCTCAGGAAGGCCCGGAGTGGGCGAGGGCTGAAAAATAACCTGTGGGTTGGTGGGCGGGGTGTGTTGGCTCACGCCTGTAATCCCAGCACCTTGGGAGGCCGAGGCAGGTGGATCCCTTGAGTCCAGGAGACCAGCCTGGGCAACATAATGAGACCCCCCCCCCATCTCTACAAAAAAAAATAATAATAATAAGATGGACATGGTGTCAAGCGCCTGCAGTCCCAGCTACTGGGGAGGCTGAGGCAGGAGGATCCCTTGAGCCCAGGAGGCCAAGGCTGCAGTGAGCCATGAAATAGAAAAAAATATATACCATTAAAAAGAGAGAGGGGCTGGGCACGGTAACTCATGCCTGTAATCCCACCCTTTAATCCCAGCACTTTGGGAGATCAAGGAGGAGGATCACTTGAGGCCAGGAGTTCAAGACCAGCCTGGCCAACATGGCAAAACCAGTCTCTGCTAAAAATACAAAAATTAGTGGCAGGGCGCGGTGGCTCAAGCCTGTAATCCCAGCACTTTGGGAGGCCGAGATGGGTGGATCACGAGGTGAGGAGATCGAGACCATCCTGGCTAACACGGTGAAACCCCATCTCTACTAAAAATACAAAAAATTAGCCAGGCGCGGTGGCGGGCACCTGTAGTCCCAGCTACTCAGGAGGCTGAGGTGGGAGAATCGCTTGAACCCAGGAGACAGATGTTGCAGCAAGCCGAGATTGGGCCCCTGCACTCCAGGCTGGGCGATAGAGCAAGACTTAAAAAAAAAAAAAAAAAAAAACCAAAAAAAAAAAAAAAAAAAAAGCCAGAGAGACACCTGCCCAAAGTCACAGAGGTAAGAGTAGGAGTCGCTAAGTGCTGGGTGGCACCATTCTCTGAAACTGATCCATCCTCCTATGAGCTTCAGTTTCCTCTTCTGTAAGCTCTGTCCCCGAGACTGGAGTGCGGTGGCGCAATCTCGGCTCACTGCAAGCTCCGCCTCCCAGGTTCAAGCGATTCTCCTGCTTCAGCCTCCCGAGTAGCTAGGACTACAGGCGCCCGCCACCTCGCCCGGCTAGTTTTTTGTATTTTTAGTAACAGACGGGGTTTCACCGTGTTAGCCAGGATGGTCTTGATCTCCTGACCTCGTGATCCTCCCGCCTTGGCCTCCCAAAGTGCTGGGATTACAGGTGTGAGCCACCGCGCCCGGCTGCGTCTGGCAAATTTGTTTAAATTTTTGCAGAGAGAGGGTCTCACTAGGTTGCCCAGGCTGGTCTCAGACCCTAAGTTCCAGTGATCCTCCTGCCTCAGTTTCCACCTTCCTAAGTACTGGGATTACAAGCATGAGCCACCGGTGCCCAGCCTTATTACTTCCATGTTAGAGATGGGGAAACCGAGGCTGAGAGGTGGAGTCATGTGTCCCGTTCCCATTCCGCCTGTCTTCAGCCCTCTCCACTGTCTCTCCCTGCAGGTGAGATCCGTGCCCACCTGCTGCCCTCCAAGGCCTGCCGCCCCCGGACCCCTGGGTCCCGCTCCACCGACCCACAGCCCCTGCCCCCACCCCTGCCCAAGAAAATCCTAACCCGGACCCAGTCACTGCCCAACCGCAGGACCCCCCATGCCAGCTCCATCCAAGTACAGCTGCCTCGGAGGCCCTTTCTGGGGTCCCACAGTGTGGACAAGAGCCAGGCTGAGGTGGGACCAGCTTGTCCCCCTGCAGAGCTGACCTTTGGCCTGACTGATGCCCCGCTGGGCCTCTCTCTCTGCAATCTGCACAGTCCAGAGGCTGTGCACGCTGCATTGGCTGCCCGGCAGCTGCAGGGCCTCCATGCCATCTATGCCCGGCTCCGTGCCCGGTTCATGGGGGGCCACCCCGGGCCCTGCCGCCCTGGCCACGGCTTCCGCCTCCTGGACAGCTCGCCCTGCGCAGAGAGCGGGGATGCCCTGTACTACCGCGTGGTGCGCGTGCATGACGACGCCTGGCACATCCTGGTCGCCAAGGTGAGACCCATGGCCCCACCTTCTCTGAAGTGTCCCCAGTGTCCCATCTTAGGCATAACCCAGGGCTTGTTTCGCTTGGCCTTTCTGTGAGTCAGTTCTCACACTGCTGTAGAGAAATACTGGAGCCCAGTGCTCACACCTGTCATCCGAGCACTTTGGGAGGCCGAGACGGGCGGATCACAAGGTCAGGAGATCGAGACCATCCTGGCTAACACGGTGAAACCCCGTGTCTACTAAAAAATACAAAAAATTAGCCAGGCGCGGTGGCGGGCACCTGTAGTCCCAGCTACTCAGGAGGCTGAGGCAGGAGAATGGCATGAACCTGGGGGGCACAGCTTGCAGTGAGCCAAGAATGCGCCACTGCACTCCAGCCTGGGCAACAGAGCGACTCTGTCTCAAAAAAAAAAAAAGGCTGGGCAGCACAGTGGCTCACGCCTGTAATCTCAGCACTTTGGGAGGCCAAGGCGGGCAGATCATGAGGTCAGGAGTTCGAGACCAGCCTGGCCAACATAATGAAACTCCGTCTCTACTAAAAATACAAAAATTAGCCAGGCGTGGTGGTGTGCCCCTGTAGTCCCAGCTACTTGGAGGCTGAGGCAGGAGAATCGCTTGAACCCAGAGGTGGGGGTTGCAGTGAGCCGAGACTGCACCACTGTATTCCAACCTGGGAGACAGAGTGAGACTCTGTCTCAAAAAAAAAAAAAAAAAAATAGTAAAGAAAAGAAAAAAGGGAATACTGGAGACTGGGTCATTTATAGAGAAAAGAGCCTTAACTGGCTCATGGTTCTGGTGGCTTCTGCTTCTGGAGAGGCCTCAGGAAGCTTCCAGTCATAGTGGAAGGTGAAGCGGGAGCAGCCATCTCATATGGTAGGAGCAGGAGGAAGGGAGGGAGGAGGTGCCACGCACCTTTACACAGCCGGATCTCACGAGAACTCACGCGCTATCCCAATGACAGAGCCAAGGAGGATGGTGCTGAGCCATTCATGATAAACCACCCCCAAGATCCAGTCACCTCCCACCAGATCCCACCTCCAACACTGGGGATTACTATTGGCCATGAGATTTGGTGGGGACACAGATCCAGACCATATTAGACTTGTTTATTTTGCAACTAACACGTGAATCAACACAGTTAACCTCATGTTTCTAAAGTGTGGGGCCATGGATATGGCCTTGGAGCCCTTGTCAAAACCCCTCCCACACCTCTCTGGCCGGGGATCTGTTTTTTTGTTGTTGTTTTTGTTGGTTTTTTTTTTGGAGACAGAGTCTCACTCTGTTGCCCAGGCTGGAGTGCAGTAGTGCGATCTCCGCTCACTGCAACCTCCGCCTTCCGGGTTCAAGCGATTCTCTCACCTCAGCCTCCGAAGTAGCTAGGATTACAGGCGCGCCACCACGCCCAGCTAGTTTTGTATTTTTAGTAGAGACGAGCTTTCCCTGTGTTGCCCAGGCTGGTCTCGAACTCCTGACCTCAGCGATCCCCCTGCTTCCCAAAGTGCTGGGATTACAGGCGTGAGCCACCGTGCCCGGCCCAGGAATCTGCTTTCTAACTCATTGCCCAGGGACACTGCCACCATCTTCTTCCCTGGCTTAATTTTCCTAAAAGCCCTTACTGGTGACTGACTACCCAATTAACATCGACCTCCTGCTGCTGGAGAGATGCAGGCAGTCTCCCACCCCCAGCCATAGTGGGGGCAGTTTGGGGGTTTGCGGGGGAGACTTCGTGGCAGGTCGCTCTGGGGCGGGCAGTGCTGGTGGGGGGCCCAGTGATTCAGGCCCCGACACCCCCTCTGCCTTGCAGGTACCCAAGCCCGGGGCGGACGTGCCCCACCCATGGGGCCTGGAGCTGCAGGCCTCCCTGTCTCCACACTTCAATCTGCAGGGGTTGTGTGGCGTGGTGCCTGAAGGCACACTGCCCGGGGCGCCCTGGAGAGGCGCGGTGGCGCTGGCAGCGGAGGTGCCGGAGCGCACGGTGGCGCAGTGGCTGGTGGAGGCCTGCACGCAGCCGCCGGAGGAGTTCGTGTGGGCCGTGGCCCTGGTGCTGCTGCAGCTGAGCGCGGCCCTGGAGTTCCTGGAGGCGTGGGGCGCGGCCCTGGTCGAGTTGAGGCCAGAGAACTTGTTGCTGGCGGCACCTCGGGGCTGTGCGGCGACTGGGCACCCGCGCCTACTCCTCGCTGACTTTGGCCGCGTCTGTCCGCAGCCCCCCGGACCCCCGGGCTCCCCGGGCCCCCACGCGCCGCAGCTGGGCAGCCTCCTCCGCGAGATGCTCGGCCTTGCTGCGCCCTCGACCACGCCTTTGACCGCGGGCCTGGAGCGCCTGGCAGCACAGTTGACCCGCTTGCAGCCCTCGGCGTCCCGGACGCGGGGTGCGCTGCAGGCGCTGCTCTGGGGGCCGGGGCCTGAGGTGCGCGGCCGCGGAGCACCGCTCGCTCCCTGGCTCAGGGCGCTCGGGCCCTGGCTGCGGTTGCGCCGCGGGCTGCTGGTCCTGCGCCTGGCAGAGCGGGCCGCAGGTGGGGAAGCGCCCAGCCTCGAGGACTGGCTGTGTTGCGAATACCTGGCCGAGGCCACCGAGTCCTCTATGGGCCAGGCCCTGGCGCTGCTGTGGGACTGAACCCAACCCAGGGCGAACACACCTGGTCCATGCCTGCCCAGGAGGCAGGGCTGGGGCTGAGGTCAGCGTCTCTATGATCGCCAAGACAACCTCTTCCTGCAGAGTCCAGGGACGCAGCAGAAAGAGCAGCGCCCCCCTCCAGAGTCTCCCCTCTCGTGCTGGCGATGTGGGTCAAGGGCTTCCCAGGAGTGCAGCTACCCCTGCAGGGCTGGGGGCTGGCCAGCCCCTCCTGTGTGGGCAGCAGCTCTCTGAAGCCAGGGCCCCCAGGCCACCTCCAGGTGTGGACACCCCCGCTGATCAGTGTCTCTCTGTGTTCCACCTTCCCCAGCAGCCAGGGCGCTTTTCCGCGGTGGGTCCTGTCATTGTCTCCCTGAGAGGCCAATGCCGGGACCAGAGCATTCCTGGCCCTGGAGCACCCCCTTGTGCTGAAGACGGCCAGCGATTTTGGGCATGTCCCTAGTGGAGAATTGCTTGGTGGTGACACAGGAAGGGAAGGCTCCCTGGGACCTTAGACACCCAGCTCATCTCAGAGGCGTCTGGACTCACCATCCCTAAAACAGTCCCCGCGGTTCCCTGCCACCTCCCCACAATCCCTCTGCACCCATCCTGCCTCCCTTCCTGTTCCTCCATGACACACTAACTTGTTTCCCACCCCCAAGCATCTGTGCAGGCTGTTCCCTCTGCCATACTGTTCCAGTTCCACTTGATCTAAACAAATTAAGGTGCCCCCTCTGGGCCCTCGCTAGCTCCTTACCCTTCGTTCTCCGCCCACTCCCAGGAGCATTTATTCCTCTGTTACTGTCCCCAAGGCTGTGAGTTCCCTGGGGGCAAAGGCCAGGCTTGGCACACGGTAGGTGCTCACTTAATACTGCAGGATGATGGAATAAACAGGCACAGAGGAGACTCACTGGAGGGGAATGCAGTCTTTATGCCTCTGACACACCACACTGTACTTGCCTGTGGCCTCCTTCCTGGAGACTCACAGTTGCCCTTCCATTCCATTCCCCATGGCAGTCCTGGGAGGATCTTTCCAACCCCAGATATGAGGTCCCTCTCCAGCTCAAACACCTCCCATGGCTCCCCAGTGCCTCAGAATACATACAGGTCTCTTCCAAAGTCTCCTCAGTCTCCAACCTCATGTCATTTATCCCTGGAGGTACTTTCCGGCCTCTACGCCTTTGCCCAAGTTGTTTTTTACGCCGGAAACAGCCCCCTCTACTCTGGTTCAGACTCCTATTCATCCTGCAACGCCTCAGCTCTAACGCCCCTTCTCTGCACTTGCACTGCCCAAATGAGCTGGGAGTGTCTGTGTTCACATCTATCCTCCCAGCCGACCCCACCATGCTCAAACGGCTGAATATCCCCCTGCCCCCGCTCGCCAAGGCTACAATCTCTTCCAGCGCCTTTCCTCCTCTTTCCAACCGGTTTCCCGGCCAGGCCTGGCCCTGACTTTTTCCGGGTGATGCTCCCGGATGCGGCCGGCAGGTGGCGCAGCGCCGCGCAAACGGCGGGGGTCGCAGACCCGGAAGCGCTCCAGGCCTTGACGCCGCCGGAAGTGCTCCTGCCCTGAACGGCGCTGCAAGTCCACGGGGGCGGCCAGTAACACGGTGACCCAAAGGAGTCGGGAACAGACATGCCCATGCGCAGGCCCAGGCTGGGGCGGAAGGGCACGCGATGCAGGAAGGGGCTCCAAGCGAACAGTGGCAAGGCTGACGCCAAGCTCAGGGCCCAGGCCTGCCAGCCCAGGGGGTCTCCTCCGTGGGAGGGGTCCTGCAGCTGCCCTGGTGACAAGTCCCCCTGCGACCCCTCTACCCAGGGCCCTCTGTGGTCCCAGGCACTCCTCCCACCAGCCCCCGGCGTCACCACCACGGAGCCATGTGCATCGGGTGTAATCACTTTATTGGTTTTCGGAGAGCAATAGAGGGGATTAATACCTAATCTTTCCAAGTTAAAAGACTAAGACTGTTTCCAAAAGACTCCAAATAAGAAACTTCTCCTCAAAGTACAAGGATAATCTGAATCATCTTAAACCAGCAATAAAAAAGTAAAATATAAATTTTTATTTAGAATTAAAGCAAATACTTCAGTATCACAAACACAATATTAAACTTCAAGAAATATACGCTAATTTGGAGTGAGCATTTATTTGCACAATTACAACATGCGGACAAACCCAGGCGAGATGAGCGAGTCTACGGTTTCCACCCAACCGGCTGACAAGCGGTGGCCCCAGAGGCCGGATGCCCAGCGCCCAGGCGGCCCTACTCCTCCTCCTCTCCCGAAGACTCTCTCTCGAACGTGTAGGCCATGAAGCAAGCGTCGGGTCTCTTGGGGACAAGGGGATGCCCCGGTCTCACAATCTCAAAGCCCAAAAAGCTGAAGGTTCGGAGCAAGGCGGCTGTGGGGGAGAAGCCGTCAGAAACCCCACCACCCAGGAGCCCCCACCCGCCCCCCGCACCCCCGCCGGGAGACCACGCCTGCGGGCTGAAAATGAAGGTGCATGGCAGGTGCCCCCACACACCCTGCTGCAGGCGATGCGGGTCACCTACCTCTGTCCTCGCGGTTCTTGTGGAAGCAAATGAAGACATGGTCGGCTCGCAGCTGCTCCTCAGCAAATTCCAGGAGAACTGCAAAGCTGCAGCGCGTGTCAGTGTCTTGGCTAGCCCGACCCGCCCACCTACCTCCTGGGCCTTAGCAGCTACCCTGAAGCCCGCTCTACTCCAGGGTCCCCCTGGGGCCCAGATCGTTCTCTGGGTGGGGCCGTCCTGACACCGCAGTGGTGAGCAGCACCGCTGCACCCACCCACGTGCATGCCCCGGGACAGAAAGGCTGTCAGACACTGCCCGGCATCCCCTGGAGGGTGGAATCCCAGGGTACAAACTTGGAACGCGCTTTTTAAAAAGAGACCCCAGAACGGGCGCCGTGGCTCACGCCTGTAATCCCAGCACTTCGGGAGGCCGAGGTGGGCGGATCAAGGGGTCAGGAGTTTTGAGACCAGCCTGGCCAACACAGCGAAACCTCGTCTCTACTAAAAACACAAAAATTAGCTGAGCATGGGTGGCGGGCGCCTGTAATCCCAGCTACTCGGGAGGTTGAGGCAGGAAAATCACTCGAACCCGGAAGGCAGAAGTTACAGTGAGCCGAGATCATGCCATTGCACTCCAGCCTGGGCGACAAGAGCAAGACTCCCTCTCAAAAAAAAAAAAAAAGGGGGGGGCCCAGCCCAACCCATACAGCGATGGTGGCCCCCATATTTGCTGCCTGAAGGCAGTGCCCTCCCTCATCTGTCCCTGCCCCCCTGGGTAAGCACCCCCCACCCCGTCTCCGCCCTCACCTGTCCTTGCTCCCCTCAGGCAGCGCGCCGCCCGGGATCTCGATGTAGAGGCTGCCTCCACTCAGCACTGTTCGCCAGTTAATGCGTTTGGCGTCTGTGAGCCTGGACTGGACGTTGAGAATCCTCGTCTTGTCGTTGGACGTTAGTTCCTCTGTTACATTCAGCCGATCATCCTGTCCGGGGGACGGTGCAGCGTAATTCAGAACCCCGACTCACCCCACGGGCAAGAGACCGGCAGCGCTAAGGCTTGGACCTAAGCCGTGTTCAGCTCAAGCAAGGCCTGGGCTGCAGGAGACTGTGCGCCCTCTCTGATGAAACTCAGAAGGGTTCCCAGGATTAAATTCAATCACACGTACCGGCAGCGAAGTGCACAACAAGTGCCAGCGGCCCCAGAGCAGCCCCAGCCCCAGCCCCGCCCACCCCAGCGCCGTACTCACGGAGTAGAATAAGTTAGCTGAAAGATTGTGATCCCTCTGACTATTCCCTCGCCCACCTGGGATCTTCAGGGGTGGGTGAGGGGCATCAGGAGCACCACCGAGGCCCCGGACCCGGGTTACTACAGCAGCGGAGGGAGACCCTGGAACTGAAGGCAGATGCGATCACCAGGCAGCGCCAGGTTCCCGGCGGAGACCCTTCCAGGGCGCCCGGACGGTCTTCGGCCGCCCACCCCTGCCCCGGCCAGAAGACCCCGCCCCGCCCAGGCTGGGGCCCACCCGGCCCCGCACCCCCGGGGCTTCCCAAGGGCAGCTCCAATGCCTGCCCCAAGCACCTACAACGGCATCGATCACTGAGCCCCGACGCCTTGGGCGGCGCCGCCCGGAATAGCCCAACCCTCCCAGGGCCGGGGGGGGGGGTCCCTTCCCCTCACGTAGCCCCGCCGGGACAGAGCCTCACCCCCTCCGCCACCGCGCCAGCCGGCGCTTCCCCTTTTCAGCCCGGCCGCGGCTTCCCCTTTCCACCCTGCACTGCGGTCAGAATCTGGAACCCTTGCTTGTCCCCGCGAGGAGGGGGCGGGCCTGGCCTGACCTCGCGGAGGACGCGCCCCGCTACTGCTCCTGGCCGCCCCCCGCCCGCCCCCGCGCCCTCCCGGTTGCGTCATCCAGGCAGACGCGGCCCCGCGCCCCGGGGGAGATTTTCACAATCGCGCAGCCGGCAGCGCCAGCAGCCATTTGCTGCGCGATGTAAACAGGCCCCAAAGTTGCCTCCATTTTGCACGGCCCCCACACCGTGGCACCGCCAGCACCGCGGCCCAACTTCCCGATTCCCGGGACTCAGCGACGCCCACCTCGGGAGACGCACTCGTGGAAGCTCGACCGAAACCCCGCGGGCTCCCCCACAATCGCAGCTGGCACCCGCGTCCCCTGAAGCGGGACGCGTCGTCCCGGGAGGCGGCGGGGGACTTCCCAGGGCTCTGTCGGGTTGTCCGAATGCGCGACCCCCTGCTCCCCGACGGCCCCCGCGGAGAACAACTGGGTGCCGTCTACGTACGCGGCCTCGCCCCGCGCGTCCCCGGCCATCCAGACCGACTCGCTCTGGGGCGAAAAACGGGGCCCACGAAGTCGGTTGCGTGCGGGGGCCACATCGAGGCGCAGGAGACCCACGGAAGCTCGTCCGCCGCGAAGCGCTCCCCGCTCCGGCAGCGCACGCTCAACGGCCGGGACCGAAAAGTGCAGATTCACCGGCCCTGCGGGCCCTGCCTGGCCTCGGACCAGCCCCCCAAGGCCGACCCCGCCCCCAACCAGATTGCCCCATCCTGCGCCTCCCAAATCCGTCCAGCTCGCACACCCCTCCTCCAAACCGAATTTCCAGTCTGCGTCCCCCAAATCCAACTCTCTCCCCTCCTCCAAAGCCGAGTCCCATCCTACGAACCCCAAAAAACACACACGCCTCCCCCACATTCCCCGTCCTGCGCCCAAATCCGACCTCCGACTCACGCCCCACCCCCACATCAGGCGCCCCAGACGGCGCCCCTCAAATCCAACTCCGCACCCGTGACCCCCAAACCCGACCCAAGAGCGCTGCCAAGGCCGGGGGGACCTCCAGGCCCGCCCTGCCCCTACCTCGTCCCCAGCACGACTCTGGCCTTGACAAAGGGGCGGATCTCGCGCGCCGGGGACCTATCTGGCGCCCCGAGGACTGCCCCCCGCGGGCCTGCGCGGCCGGCGCTTCTGGAAGCTTCGGACGGGGGCGGGGCGCTCACCTCTCACTGCTGCTGCCTCCGCGGCTGTGCAGGCTTAGAAGCGGCATGGTGCAGCTGGCGTGGATGGTGGCACTGGGTTTATCCCCTTCCTTCTCTCTGGCGAAGCAGTGGCTATTGAGGATCCGCTGCAGGGAGGATTTCACCATCCGGCCGCTGGGGTCCGAAACCAGGAAAACCTCCGCTGCGCCTCTCCGCGCCGCCGCCGCTGCTCGCCGTTCGCAAAATGGCGCTGCTGCCGCCGCCCGCCTTTATAGACGCCGCGTCCGGGCCACGCCCCCCGCACCGCCGGGAACGCGGCCGCACGAGAGGCAGAGCCGCGGGGCCGCCGGGAAAAACAGTCACGCCCGCCCCTTCCAGCGTCTGATTGGTAGAAGGTAAAGGAAAACGGAGAGGCGCTCTGGAGATTGGTTGGTGAGCCTCGGGCCACGCCCCCTCCCGCGCGCGTCCGTCTGCGGGCGCCCGGGGGCGGGGCTGCCATAGCGCCGGGTACGCGCTGCGCTCGCCCTGAGCCGTCCCCGCCCCCACAACCGTGCCTTGGGGCGTGGGCGGCTCGCTGGGGCCGATTTTCGGGGGTCTCCGAGTGCCCGCTTGTTTGTCGTGGTGCACGTCGCCCTCCCTAGGGTCCCTTCACGCAGCGGGACCCCTCCCCTGGGTAGGCCCCCGGGTATTGGGAGGGGTGTCTAAACGCGCCCATCCTCCCATAGGACAAAATTATTTCCAGTAACTCCTGGTAATCATCGCTAATACTGGTTTTATTTTTTTTTAATTTGGTCTTGCAGTTCTTAAAATGCTTCCAGTGTTTTTTAAAAAAAGAACTTCCAATGTTAAAGATATTCAAATTTAGTAAAATATTTCGTGTACAATTTGGACTTAAGCAAAAATTTTACTCCTTGCAGATAAATTCAGATTTTTCCTGTGGAAACTAACACTTACCCTAAGGAAAAACACTACTCCTGGCAGTTAAAATTCAGAAACACATTTCATGTATGAACTAAAATGTGGATCTCCCAAGGAAAAAACGATTTTTTTGGTGGTTAAGTTCGGTAAACTGTTTCGCCTGTTGAGTTAAAATGTGGACTTATCCAGCAAAAATATTTCCCCTCCTGGTTAAACCCAGAAAAAAAATCTCAGGTATGAACTGCAGTTTGCGTTTAGTAAGCAAAGATAGAACTCTTGGCAGTTACATACTGGTACTAGGTTGTGTGTAGACTATGAATTTCGCAAAAAGTTGCCACTTTGCGTGAGGTTTAATAAAATATTTTATATTTCATGTATAAACTAAATTTTGTTCTTACCAAGCAAAAATGCTACTTCTGGCAAATCCCGATTTCGTTCATGGTTTTAATTTTGTTTTGTTTGCAACCGGCCTGGCTCTCACCCAGGCTGGAGTGCAGTGGTGCAATCTTGGCTCGCTGCAACTTCTGCCTTCCGGGTTCAAGCGATTCTCCTGCCTCAGGCTCCCAACTAGTTGGGATTACAGGTGCCCGCCACCACACCTGGCTAATTTTTGTATTTTTAGTAGAGATGGGGTTTCACCATTTTGGCCCAGGCTGGTCTCGAACTCCTGACCTCAGGTGATCCACCTGCCTTGGCCTCCCAAAGTTTGGGGATTACAGGGTGAGCCACCGCGCCCGGCTCAAAAAAAAAACAAACAAACAAAAACCCGGCCCACACCCTGAGTGGGGAAGGAGAGAGGAGAAGAATCCCAGGTGCTGGGGCCCTCCTGGTTTATACCGTTTGCCCCATTGGGATTTTATCCTGGTGTCTGGTGTGAACAGAGAACAGACTCTGTTTCAAATAATTAACTCGGGGTCTCCTCCTTCGGCCCCGTGAACATTGGGCTTGGATTGTTCTTTGGGGTGGGGCATCCTGGGCACTGCAGGGTACTGAGCAGCGTCCCTGGCCTCCACTCACTCCATGCCAGGAGCACCCCAAGTCATGACAACCAGAAATGTCCCAAACATCACCCAATGTCCCTTGGGGGCAGAATGACACCCCCTAGTTGAGGACTTCCTCTGGGAACTGAGGCAAGAGGGTGCTCGAAATGAACGGGTCACGAGTGCGATTTCCAGAACAGTCACGACCAGGGAACCCCGTTCCTCTGTCCTGATTGCAACAGCTCTCACTTCCTCCTCCTGTCCATCTCTAACTCTGATGGCCGCCTGCCAATGCTGTGAGGCTTCTAGAAGGGCCACCCCCACACTGGCCAGGCCACGCTGGATGAACGCCAGGATCAGCAACTGTGCCGTGCTGGCCCACCTGGCCGGGGTCCCCGGGAACCAGGGTGGGAGGTGCTTTGCTGAGAGCTGGGGAGTCTGTGACTGGTGAGGGACCCCCAGACAGCAGGGAGAGAAAGAGGCATATCTTTCAAGAGGCTTGAACTGTCTGAAAGGGACAGCAGAGGATGTTGGGTGGTCAAGGATAGAGGGCCCATGCCTGGGTTTTCCTCTGAAATCAAGGTTGAGGGGATAGGGATGCTGGCAGAGGAGGCAGAGAGTATAACTCTTGATTGATTGACTGAATGATTTTTTTTTTTTTTTTTTTGAGACGGAGTCTAGCTCTGTAACCTAGGCTGGAGTGCAGTGACATAACCTTGGCTCACTGCAACTTCTACCTACAGGATTCAAACGATTCTCCTGCCTCAGCCTCCCGAGAAGTTGGGACTACAGGCATGCACCACCATGCCCGGCTAATTTTTGTATTTTTATAGAAACAAAGTTTCACCATATTGGCCAGGCTGATCTCAAACTCCTGACCTCATGATCTGCCTGCCTCCCAAAGTGCTGGGATTACAGTGTGAGCCACCGCGCCCGGCTGATTGATTTTTGAGACAGGGTCTCGCTCTGTCAGCCAGGCTGGAGAGCAAGGGCATGATCTCAGTGGCTCACTGCAACCTCCACTTCCCAGGTTCAAGTGATTCTCCTGTCTCAGCCTCCCAAGTAGCTGGGAACTACAGGCTCACACCACCATGCCCAGTAAATTTTGGAATTTTTAGTAGAGACGGGATTTCACCATATTGGTCAGGCTGGTCTCGAACTCCTGACCTCAGGTGATCCACCCACCTCACCCTTCCAAAGTGTTGGGGTTACAGGCGTGAGCCCCTGTGCCCAGCTGACTCTGATTTAAAAAAGGATATGTGGGCCTGGTATGCACTTTGGGACGCAGAGGCAAAAGAATCACTTGAGGTCAGGAGTTCAAGACCCGCCAGGGCCACATAGCCAGACCCCATCTCTGCAGCAAATTTAAAAATTAGCTGGGCATGGTGGTGCACACCTCTAGTTCCAGCTACTCCAGCAGTGAGGCAGGAGGATCACCTGAGCCAGGGAAGTCAAGGCTGCAGTGAGCAGTGATCTCCCGACTGCAACCTGGGTGACAGAGGGAGACCTTGTCTCTAAAAGAATTATAATAATAAGTTAAATAAAATAAAATGTAAACAGGTAAAAATAAAGAAGGATTGGGGCTGGGCATGATGGCTCACGACTGTAATCCCAGCACTTTGGGAGGCTGAAGCAAGAGAATCGCTTGAGCCCAGGAGTTGGAGACCAGCCTAGCCAACATAGCAAGCCCCTATCTCTAGGTTCTCACTTCGTTGAGAATTTTAAAAATTTCTAGAATTTTTTTTTTTTTTTTTTTTTTTTTTTTTTAAGCCAGGGATGGGTCTTGATCTCCTGACCGTCGTGATCCGCCCATCTCAGCCTCTCCAATAGTGACTGGATTACAGGCTTGAAGCAAAAACCCGCCGCCGGCTTCATCTATTTATTTTTTGAACGAGGGTCTTGCTGTATTTCCAGGCCAGGGGTCCTGAACTCCTGGACTCCAAGTTTATCCTCCAACTCTGCCTCCTAAAGAGCTTAGGTTTAATAGATGTCAGCCACCGTGCCTGGCCAGTTTTGTTTTGTTTTTTTAAAGGAGTAGACGTTGGGCGCAGCAGTGTGACTCACACCTGTAATCCCAGCATTTTGTTGGGAGGCCGAGGCAAGTGGATCACTTTGAGCTGGGGAGTTCGAGAGCAGCCCTGGGCAAGACATAGCAAACCGATGTCCTGTACAGACAGAAGGAGAAAAGAAAAGAAAAAAAAGAAAAACAAAAAACAATTTTATGGCTGGGGCCCACAGTGGCTCACGCCAGTAATCCAGCACCTTTGGGGAGGCCGAGGCGGGTGGGATCCACGAGGTCCAGGAGTTCACCCTGGCAAGATGGGTGAAACCCTATTCTACCTAAAATACAAAATAAAGTCAGCCAGGTGTGGTGGTGGTGCCTGTAATTCCAGTTACTTCCGAGCCAAGGCAGAGAAAGTTCTTGAACCTGGAGGCAGAGTTGCAGTGAGCCAACGATCGCTACTGCATCCAGCCCCTGGCAACTCCGTCTCAAAAAAAAAAAACAAAAAAAATCTACAACAAGTAAGTCAAACTCTGAAAAGAGACATGGACAATGTGGGGCAAGGAAACATACTGAAGAGCTTGCCAAAAGAATGACTGCCTCAGATGTCCACCTATAAAGCGTAGTCTTTCCTTTTTGTATAATGAACCTTTGTGAAAACATAAGCTGGCCGCGGTGGCACACACGTGTAATCCCAGTGCTTTTGGGATGCTGAAGCCATCGCAGCTCCACCTGAGCCAGGAGTTCAAGACCAGCCTGGGGAACATGGCTGGAAAACCCGTCCTCTACAAAAATACAATACAAAACTAAACATTACGACAATTACGCAAAAATAAATCCGACAATTATAGCAAGGGCAAAACCGTAAGAAATACTAGGCGGGCCACGGTGGCTCCGGCCTGGTATCCCAGAATTTGGAGGCGAGGCGGGCAGATCA